AAATCCGACTGTAATTTAAGCGATTTGCGTCGCTCAGAGCTAAGTTTGAAAATGTATAACTAATTTGCCTCCGCATTGTTTGAGATGAACTTTTATGAACGTTTATGAGCAAATTACGCAGCTGAAAGCTACGTCTGAAAAACTCTCAAATATCAACTTTAGCGTGGTTTTAATTTAAATTTTAAGCAGTTGAACAATCAAATGTCTTCTTCAAATTGTGAAAATTATCAAGCTGTAGTTGGATATTTATTGAACAAAATAAAAGCAAGTTAGTGGCTACAAAGTATAAATATGACTTAAACCAAGCAATCGCTAAACCTCGGCGGCGTAAAGAAATTAAGACACATTAAGACAAACTTCAATGTAGAAAACTACTAAACAATCAAACAATGTAAAAAATCAAACACGATTAATTGGGAGAAATTTCATCACCATCAGCTTCATTATTTCATCAATCACCCTTTATAATGCAAGCATTAGTCTAACAGTTTACAGTTTTAAGTAAAAAAACGCATTGGTGACTCATATATTTTATGATATATGTAACTAAATAAACCCATTTTTTCACTTTTTCTTAATAAAATCTAAAAACAACTTTGTTGGGTAATACCAAATAAATATATGGAAACAAAGTTGAAGGAAATTGGGAATATTTTTTTTCTTCTATAATACCTACATATTGATAATCTAATAAACAATGCATTATACAAAATCGGAATTTCCTTATTTCAATTGTTCATTGTCATTTATAACATTTATATTAGTTACTTTGTAAAGCTTTAAGGAAATACTCATTCACATTCCTCAGCTGGACGATAATCAATGGAATTTTGAAAGTACGCATGTGGTTTTCCAAGCATTGGGGATTTACTTGGTTTTAATAAGACAAGTTCAATACGATGTTGCAAAATACTACTTATGGACTTAATTACTTGACCTTAAATAAATATTTAATTATATTAAAATGTTCCTTATTAGTACTGTTTAGTAAACTAACGCAACTGAGGTTTACATATGCAGTTACCAAATGTAAGTAAATATATGATACAAGCATTGTTTTACCTTCAATATTTTCGACTGTTTTTTTGCACAAGTTTGTTTCTGTGCATTCGAGGTTTAAACCATAATTTACGTAGAAGGCAAATTTGCATCAGTTTTTAGATTGAAGATTCAACATAAGTCAGTTTATATTTATTCCAAAAATGCAAATAACAGTGCAGTCACATAAGTTTGAGACACATAAAGTTTGCAATTTCACTAGCTGAATAATTTTTGATTACAAAAGAAAAAAATTTATAAAAAAACCGGTGAAAAAACAAATACAATTGAATTGTATACAAAGCTAATACATTTTGTCTCCATAAATAAAAAAAATTGATTCGAATGCATCTAAAACTGCCATTTTTCGATCAAAAGCGATGATCATAAAAAAGCACTTTTTTTTTACTTTTACGCACGGTCTTTTACGCACATGTGCGTAAAAGTAAATGTCACAAATTGTCATAACTGTCATTATATTTTTAAAAGTATTTTCATTAAAAAGTAACCGATATGCTTTTTTAATTAATTACGTAGGTTCATCGACAACTATTGATCATAATTTAAAGTTTACTTACAATTTCTAAATTGTAACTTTGTTACAAGATCAGCCTCAAAGTCGTTTTAATCGCCTATTTTTCTGCGCTCGCCGATGTTGCCACACGCAAAGCACAATATTTTTAAATAGGGCAAATGTCATGTAAAATATGCATCTTATTACATTATACAAACACCATGCCGTGAAAGCACCACTCATTGCGTCACTTGTATTTACATGCTGACAGAAGAACGCTTTTGAAAAATTACAAACGTCAAAACGTGACAATTTCAAAAATGGCATTGACATCAAATTTTAAATATGAAGTTGACGCCTTTTATTTTTGGCTTTATTTATTTATTATAACTTATGATTCGTGTTATGTCTTTCATTCGAATAAAAAATGTGGTTCGATACGAGGGCGAAAATCCGTTTTTCGAACTCCTGACGGATTGGAAACGCCGTCCTCGTTCGAAAAACGACACTTTTCGCCCTAGTATCGAAAACTACTATTACTTCACAATCACATGCTTTGCGTATATCTATCGTTAAAATAAAAAAAAATTGACAAAAACGGGAATAATTTATAGGTTGCAGTTTGAGCTAGTTTAAGAAATTAAAAAAAATACATTTACAAACGCTTTTACAAAAATCTTCGCTTGCAAAAAAAGAGCCAAATGTTGAGAATAAGAAACTATTTACAAAGCTGACTTTATTTAGAAGCGGGAATGTATGACTCCTGATTTGTCTTATTAAAATGCAACAGGAGTTTTAAATGCTTAAAATCACTCTTTTATCCCTTTACTAACAACGTGTGTGGTTTTTCTTCGAAAAATGTGAAAATTTTCGTTAATTCAACTATTAAAACAAGTAGAACTAAAAAACCGATTAGATGTTAATGACAAATTGAAAATAGGCGCGTGCCGCGGCGCCAATCAAAATGAAAATCAATGGGTTTGGGGGTTTATTTGTTTATTTTAAATATACATGGTTAAAAAAACATTAGGGATGATCTTTGATCTTGATTATTTTTTGTCCACGCTGTATATTTGACTATAATGTTATAATGTTCGTTTTTCTTAGAAATGACTTGTGAGCTCAGCCCTTTCAATTTCAGATTTAATGGGACATTTAGATTTTATGGGCAGTACGATTTACTTAAAGTAGATACAGTAAAGTCCGCTTATAATGAACCGGGTTATAGTGAACTTTCGGTTAAAACGAACTTTTTTCCTCTAATTGAAACGTCGTCCATAAAGACCAATGTATTTTTTTACGGGTTATAACGAACCCGTTTATAACGAACTTCCGGATATAACGATCACTTTTTAGGTTAGTTGTATATTCACTTTCCGTTTATAACGAACTTCCACGCTCCGCAACACAATCGTGCGGAGTTGTGATTAGTGAGAGCGAGAGACTGGCAGTGACTTGTTTTTTGCCGCGTTATGTATGTAAATCGTTTTAGAATGGAAAAACAAAAACGTAAAGCTTTTTCACTAAATGAAAAGTACGAGATTATTAACAAAATAATAAGTGGAGTAAAGCAGAGTGACACTTGTAAGGAATTAGCACTTGGAAAGTCTACTGTTGCAACAATGTGGAAAAACAGAGAAAACGTTTTATCAGCGTATGACAAAACAAATGTTAGATGTTGGAAGTTAAAATTATCTGCACCTGAAAAGGTTGACAAGAGACTTATTGAGTGGTTTACTCAAAAAAGACAAGAAAACGTTCCTATAAGTGGCAGTGTTTTGCAAGAAAATGCTAGTGAAATGGGGAGTAAAATCAAAAACAAAGAGT